ATGACACTATTACTGACGTTATTATTAATGTAATTATCTTTATAATATCATTATCAGACTATCACCGTCATAGGTATCACGATTCCCATCATCATTATCATCAAAGTGATTATATCTCGCATTCTAATTCTTATGGCCAAGATTTTTATTGTCATGCCATCATCACCCAATTCATATACATACATATGCAGCATCGTCAAAGCATTCACTTTATAAAATTCTGAATAATAGTGTCTAAGGTACTTTTATTTCCTTAGCTAGAATTCACCTGTAAGGAACCATGCACAATGACTATATACTATAAGAATATTCATAATCAAGACTAATATTTTCTACTGTTCTTTCCTCGATTCATTCCCTCCTTCCGCCTGTCCTGGTCTCCTTTATTTACCCCTTCCTCCTCCTCCTTAGAAGAGAGTCCAGAAGCAGCAGATTGATATGTATCGACCTCCTAGCGCCATTATGCTGTAGGTGAACTGTGAAAGATTGTGATCCAGGATTTAGACACTTGTTGCCTGTACGCCATGCGCCGCACAGGGTACAGGACTTTGTACGTAGTAAATGTAGTCAGAAGTGCCAATACTTTTCGTAATCTAGTTTTAAGGAAGAAATCATGGATATGAGGTAATGATAAATGTAGATTATGAGCTCCATTGCACCATGATTTACAGGTTCACGATTGTAATCTGAATTACCCTGATGAAATTTATGAAGGAAAAGTTTATTACGAAGTAGAAAAAAAACAAACATTACGGCATAAAATGACGATTGTAAACAAAACCACTTTTTCTCTCTTTCACATATTCATATTGATAAACTTCTAAATACTGACTTTGGGGGGGAATATCATGGATTTATGGCTTGCTTTCAAAAGAAGATGAGGCTTCCAGTACTATATATACATTTCAAGCATCTTAAAGAAAGAGTCAAACAATTGCTCATAATTATGTTGTATAATTAAAGGTTGATATACGCGAATGATAAAAAAAAAAATACATTTCGTAATTAATAAATAATCGACGTATGCTCGGAAAAAAATCAAATAATCAGCATATGTAAGAAAAAAAACGACAAATCATGTTTGATGTTCACCGTGTTCACTGCAGTTGTCTGTTCCGCCACGAACCTCGAACCGAGACTGAACCGGGTGCCAGTGTTCTGTCGCCTGGTAAGCTGTACATATCTGTATAGGAATTAACATATTGTAACTGATGACATTTAGAGACCATATCTTAAGGGACTGTGAAATATAATGATAAAAAAACTTTTATCATCAGGAGCGTGCCAATCATTTTTTTTTATTTTGCCAATGGTTGTATTTTGTGCCAGTTTGCCATACTCCTTCACTCTCATAAAAAGATACAATGATGATTCTGACACAATAGTTAGTCATAACTATAATACGGTGACAGTTCTGACCATCGTACTTATCATTTCACTTGGTATGATCATTACAGTTATTAGTAGTATCATTATAAGTTATCATTAAAATTATTTTTTTTCTGATCATTACTATCGGTAGAATTATCATTATCATCATCATTGTCACTATTATCACCATTGCATTCATTGTTATTATTTCTAACTGTTGCCACTATATCTTTATCAACATCAGTATAATGTCATCTTCGATGCTTTTATCATTGACATGATTTCTTTGATTGTTATATTTATTAATGATTAATCATATTAGAGCCACTGTTACTGTCCGCACCATGTCGTATACTACAACTTCTACTACTTCTTCTTTCTTTTACATCTACTATTCATATTTCTTCTTCTTCTACTACTACTACTACGGTTACTACTACAACTTCTACTACTTCTTCTTTCTTTTACATCTACTATTCATATTTCTTCTTCTTCTACTACTACTACTACGGTTACTACTACAACTTCTACTACTTCTTCTTTCTTTTACATCTACTACTTATATTTTCTTCTTCTTCTACTACTACTACAGTTACTACTACAACTTCTACTACTACTACTACTACTACTACTACTACTACTATCACTACTTCTGCTGCTGCTTCTACTGCTGCTGCTACTTCTGCTACCACTACTACTACTTCAACTATTACTATTATTACTACTAATGCTGCTGCTGCTACTTTACCACTGTTACTATTAATAGCCTACTATTTCTATTCAGATTGTTGTTATTACAGGTTTATAGCAGGATATAGTCAACATTATTACTTTCGTTATTTTTATTATCATTTCAGAATTATTGTTTTTATTATCATTATTATTATTACTATTACTATTATTATAATAATCCTTATCATTATTATAATAATTATTAATGTGTACCATGATCATTTAGTTTCAGTTATATTTGTTATTGATATTACTGCTATTAACATTATCTTGATTGATATTTTTTATACATTATCGTAACTATAGCAGCTTTCATTGGTTTAGTTATCTTTATCACTTGTTTTTATTCCTTTAATATGCTATAGCAAGTATCATCAGTAATGTTATATTAATGATACATCATAAACATAATCATTATCATTATCACTGTCATTATTATCATCATGATCATTATTATCAAAATTATTACTATAATTATAATTATTAACATCATTATTATCATCACCATTATCCTAATTATTATTATCACTATCATCACTACTATTATGATGTTTCTTCAATGTAACCATAACCATTATCATTACCATCAATATCATCATTAATCAGTACGGACACCTCTATAATTATCTTAACTGTTTTTGTATCATATTACCCTTTTTTGAAAATGGTCATATGTATCTTCATGAGAATTATCTATTATGTTAATTATTTAAAAATATCCTTTTATACATTTTCTCTGGCGTTCAGTTACTTTTTTTTATTACATGGTCCTGATATTCTAAAATGGCCTTCATATTTTGCATAATAGGCGTCACTATCCCAATAAGTCTCTGGAGTCTTATTCTCGTATGTTAATTTCTGTAACATTATCAGCTGATCACTTACAACTTTAGGATTACTTAACCGGTATGCTCCGTTGCTTTGTGGCATGAAAGGCGTAGTGTTATTTGATTCTATTCATATCTAGTCAGAGAAGTATGATGTCAAAGTGTAAACCAAAATATATTTTCACACTATTAAAATGTGTTTGATATCCCTTTAAATATCAATCCAGTTCTGTATCATATTTAATTTTCAATGGAAACGTACAATGGAAACATAACTCAATATCTTGGAAGGTGGAATGTAAAAACAAGTCACATAAAATTAATCTGAAGAAATCGATCTCAGGAAACAGTTAAAGGCACTGATATTTACAATTAACATACCTAAAAGCGCGAAAACTTTTCTTATCTGTAAACTGTCCTTCATTACTTTGAATTTTGTCGAGAAATGATAAACATAACTAGTCACATGTAAAGAACGTAACCAACATATGTTTCATGTGGTTACGTGTACGTTTTGGAAGACTGTTACAAAACCTAACAAGTGTTTTATTGCTTCGTGGTCAAATGGAATTTACATGTTCGCTATTTCTACTTTCAAAAATACCTAATGTTAAATAGAATGTGTCCACTAGAAAGATATATCAATATCTTTAAAAGCCAAGCCGTGTTGAAAATCTATATGGTAAGGAAATGAACAACAAAGAAATGAATAATGGTACTACCTATTCACTGTGTGGATCAATTCAGAACTCCTATGCCAGGTAAGCCCTCTGCACGGTTCCCAGGTATGTATGGTAAAATATGGTCTTGTAGTGGCCATACAAACACTGTTATTAATCTGACACAGAATCTAATGAATCATTAATCAAGCTTTTAAACAATAATTTACAAAAAGCAGATTGACAGTAAATTCATGGGCGAATCTGACCCTCATAACCATAAAATCCGTGGAATAATAGAATGACCTTTGGCTAAAAGAAGGAAACCGCCAGCCAATGGAGGACCTAAAAAGGTCCATAACAACGCATGCTCATGGTAAAAGAATAAAATTCATACATTTGGTACAACAAAATAGATGACGGAAGAGGGGAAGACTTAATTCACCGCAACTAGGCGACATATGAAGCAATCTGAAAATATAGTTACAATAGTCAACATGGAACTCTACCTCTTTTACGTTACAGGGATTCCACTGCACGTTGCCCGGGAAGTCACATGCGTCTAAATTCACTTGGAAAAGTACAATATCTCTGGCTGATGGTAACTCAGGCCCTATATCGACCTGGGGCTGAATTATAAGTACTCTTTTCACAAACATCACACCGGCGAGCACTGACATCTTGGTAGGATTTCGATCAAATGGCACCTGTAGGATACTCACACAAAGGAAAGAGTTTTTTGAAGATCTGGCTGGACCTCCTATAGCCGCGAATCAAAGAGCGTAGGTCAGTGGCAATGATTCTCTAAAAGCCTAAATAAATAATTCTAAAATAATTCTCTAAAAGAGACCTTCCATAGCGGGCTTAGCCACCGCTATCAAAGGGAGGAGTGATTTATTTTTCGCCATGAGTTTAAGGGGTAACTGTTCTATATTTGATCATTAATGGATGAATTAAATTTACGGGTTCAGTGTTGCCCTTTCTTAAGTTATACATCTAATACATTGTCTATAAAGGTATGTTGTTAAATGTTTCATTATTACATAATTTATTTTTTGTATATTTTATGAAGTACAGTAAAAATAAACATTTTACTTTTGAATAAGTACATTTTAATGATCTTTTGCAATGTAAATAAGTCCAAAGTACAATTCTGCTTCACTATTATCAATTATATTCGCTTTCTTTCTCATCTAATGTTTAGAAAACGACAGAAATGTTGCCACGAAAAATCAGGCAAATCTGAGTACAGCCATAAATCAAAGTAAAATGTAATAGGTTATAAAAAAATACTAATCTACTAACATTTGATATCAAATAATTTACTAAGAACTCGCGAGATATGGATTAATATATTTTCGAATATACATTATGCCTGAAACACGACATAGTGACCTAACAGTGTACAGACATTAGAAATTACTGAAACTTCTCTCAACGTTCCAGTAATCAGTGAACGCCATTTCCCCTTTTTATAACAATTTGAAAATAGCCATAATATTTTTTCTCCACCTGTATCTTAGGTAAGAGGAAGTGTCAGCGTGTACATTTATATTCTAAGAATACATTAAGTATCCAAGATTCTTCTGACAAATACAAAATCATAATCTAGTGCTGAAATAACGTTAAGAAAAAAAAAATGAATAAATATAAATAAAAACTACATTGAAAGCAGCTTTACTAGTTTTCGAATCGACCTTTATGCCTTTGGTGACAAAACATGACCTAAAAATTTGACTTCACTCATAGCAGTCATATTTACTGACACTTAATTCCATGACTATTTCTTGAAGTCGCTGAAAAGTTTCTTGATAACTCAATCATCTGACAAAATGAGTCTGCCCGCATGTAAATAGTTCTTGATCCATTATATCTTGAGTAATGGGCTTAATACTTCCTGCATTTTGTGTAGATATTGCTGGACTGATTGAAAGCCCAAAAGGGAGTCGTTTGAACCTGGGATTATCCCTTTAGAAAATGTTAAGTCCTTTGAGGGTTCATCTAAAGCAACCTAGAAGTAGGCATCCTTCATATCTAAAGTAAAATTATAAACCCTAAGACCCTGCCCAGACAAGCGACTTTAGTGTCGCGACTGCTAGAAACGCGACTGCCAGGTCAATGGAGTTGAATAGCCACTAGTGTGTGTGCTCCTATTCACTTACATTGACCCGGAAGTCGCGCTTTTAAAGTCGCTTGTCTGAACAGGGTCTAACTGCTCTCTCTTCCACCAGTTCATTTATTCTTGGTAGTGGCATTACATCAACCTTAATTTTGTTTTATTGATACTTCTATAGTCTATGCAAAGGCTTTTTGTGCCATCTTCCTAACCCTGCCAATAATTCCATGTATCGCCCTTCTTCTAGCACTCTAGATTTTCCTAATTTGGTTCTAGGTCTATGTCTTAATGTTCTTCTCATAGGAATAGCTAATGGTATATAGATTTCTTTGTTGTCTTTAACTACAAAACAGGTACTCTGAGAGAACACAGGATCTTTCTCCGAGTTTTCCCCTGCCTTGGCGTCAGCCCTCACCTCAGCTAATTTTGCATGGTCTTTTCTCCTCCTCCTATGCTTTTCCTTACCTCCTTCATCCCCTTTTATATAGGTGGAGTGTCCTGCCCTGTCCGATTAATTTGACCCCTTCCTCTTTATTGTCAAAAATGTTGGCGTTTTGACCACCCAGTCAATACTGTCACTCCATAGCCCACAGCCCTCTATGTGCCCAACCTAGTCATGACTGTTCAAATTGCCCTGCTCAAGTACATGTGCCAATTATGGTGGCTCCTATAATGTATTTTACAGGAGCTGCCTTGCCTGTAAACCCAAATGTGTGGTAGCAGTTCTCAGATTCAAACTAGGCCTCATTCTATGTGAGGCCAGACAGGAAGGATGATGACAAGGTTTTTCTCTCTCTACCTACTCAAAAACAGTCCTTTACTCTGCTCCCCCCTTCATCTTCTCATGATGTCTCTGCATCTCCCTCAGTATCTCTTCCCTCTACCCTTAACCATCTTCGCCTACCACATCCTCTCTTACACCCGCCTTTTCCTCTGTTCTTTGAACATCTATCCCCTCCTATCCTCCTAACAAGAGAACCTTTGTTTCTCAGACCTCCCCATCCAACTCCCCTCCAGAAACTCTTGAAGACATAAAAAAAATCCTGTACATGACCAAGAGATTGTTCTGCTCCCTCATCCACCCTCCAATCCCTCTATTCCTATTACCTCAACCTTCAAAGTATTTGCTGATATCCATCATCTTCCCCTACTCGTCTTCCTCCCACTTTCCCAAAAACCCCATCACCTTTAGCTGCACCATTCCCTCTTTGTTCCCCATTATCCTTACCTCTGCCAACTGGATACTCATGTGAATCCCTTCTGTCGCAACAATGTCCTTCACCGGATCCCTCCCTCCCTGACACTCATCCTGATACCTTACCACCTTCCCTAGTCCCCTTATCTCATCTTCCAGATTCTTCTCCTGCAACTTTTCAAACAGCCATCTCTACTGATATTGCCTCTTGATTATCTCACAATAGCTCTTTTGACAGTTTTCCTTAAACAATGTTCCTATAGCTTCCCCAGCCACAAATACACTCCCTGAACCCTCTCCTTTACTAATCTCTGATTTACTTTATTTGCAGCCCCTCTTTACACTTTTCCCATTTATACTATACTATAACATGCTCTATAACCTTTGACATTTAACACATTATATCCTAATCATTAGCTCATTTTTACCCTTTTGGCCACATTACTTTACCAAAGTGCTATATGACACTTGATGTCAAGCACATTTATTTGTTTCATCCATTAGCCATTATCATGATATGAGGCAATATACATGGCTTAGTCTTATGCTAGTATAATTTTTTTTTACTGTTTACTGTTATTTTGTTTTAGCAAATTTGATGTACATATTTTTACAGAGCAGCAAGGAAAGGCAAAAATGGCAGACATATTCAGAAAAGGTGAAGTGACAAAGCTGTTATCTAACCGCAGTGTTTTGATGTTAGGAGATTCAAGTAAGTTATGCTACATTGGCAACAAGTATTATTAAAAGAACAGACATTGTTGTTATTATTATTACACAACATTTAATTTGCATTCTTTTATAAAAGCATTGTATTTATGAACACATCTGTGTATGGATATCTAAAGAGGTAAATTTATAGCTTTATGAATTAATTCTTTTTACTTCTTAGTCTGTTTCTGTTCATCATTGTTTTATAGGGTGAAAGTAAGATTGCTTGAGCAAATTTGTTTACAATGGAAAATCATATATTGCAGATATGCGGTCTATATACAGAGATCTCATTTACTTGCTAGTATACGGGGGAATTATTCCAGCAGAGATGCTAAGGAGACCTAAGGTTTGTATACATTTTGGTGCTAAATAGAAATATGAAAGCTATATCTTAATGACGTTAAAACAAAGAGAATGGATATTGTTTAAGGGCCTAAGCAGAGATGTAGTTCAAGAAGGCTAGAAGCAGTGTTTAACAAGTATTTTATTTTTGTAATTTATGTTCACTTTTTCAATATGGAATCCTTTAAAAAGAATCTCAAGATTTGCTATTGATCCAGAGGGATTTGGGGATCCAACATCTCAGAAAGAAAAACAGTAGTGTGAATTTCTTGTAATGAATCTTTGTCGAACAGTAACATCCAAGCTGCTAATTTGGCTGATCTGTCACAGAAGGTTCAGATTCAGACAAAGGTAACTCTGGCTTACTGTTATGATGCTGATGGGGGAGTTACCATATTGAAAAGGTAAAAAATAAAAGCTGTTCTAGTCCTACTAACTTACTGTAAAAAAAATGTCTGGATAATTCCATAGGGTGGGTATTGAATACTTATTGTGAGATGTCTAGTCATCCCTGATCTTGCAAGAAAGTGTGTATTACTTTGCCATATACAGAATTCCCTTGAACAGAAGAATGTACCTTAAGTGTAATATACATATGTATGATGGAAAGATGCAATGTGGAGATAAAATCTTTATGGTGATTATAGGATTTGAGAGGCAACTGATATTCTATAGCTGTTGATGTTATTGAGTAAATCAAAATTTTCTGTTGTAATAACTTGAGATTTCCAAACTTAATATTATTTGGAAAGAAATGGGTATGAGTAACTCATGAAGAAATTACTAAGTTGACTTTTTAAACATAGAAAATTAATGAAATCATTTTCACAGCCGCGACGTGCAGGCCACTGTGGAGACAGAGTGATTGAGTTGTCGAGGGAAGATACGGCTGGACGTGACTTTGTTGAAGTCCGTGCCTTTGAGGTAAGGGCTTAGAGCTTTGTTCTTTGGTATATTCTATTTAATGTTTGTCAAGATAATTTCCATCATCTCTTTATTAATGCATTTCTTAATCTGTGGGTCGCAACCAAATATATTTGGTTGATTTATAATGTCTGCACTTTATAAAGTAAAACTGACCATGTCTAGTTTTGTATTTTTTCCTGTTAAAAAACTGAAGATAGTCATCAAAAGTTTTTACAACCATTTAATGTATTAAGAGATTAATTTTTTTATTTGCAGTCTGTAATTTGTATTTTAGGAGAATACTCTAAAATTCAGAATCTTTTGATGAACATACTTTTTGAGTTTGAAACAGCTACCCGGTTCATACAGTTTGCCAAATATTGAGAAGGATCATATGGAAGAGAACCAAATTTTTGTATTAATATACACCATTTTCTTCAAATCAGTGTGATGGCTTGTGTATTCGATACAGCTTCATCACAAAAGTTTATTCCTCTATTGTAAGGAGAGAATTAAAAGCCATTGAGGATGGAGAAGCACCAATTCCACATGTGGTGATCATGAACTCCTGCATTTGGGATTTAACACGGTAAATATAAAGTAATAGGTAAAAGTAAATCTAAGGGAAAGGAAGGTATTAACCTTTGTCTGTGCATCTATTTGTTTTATTTATTTATTTATTTTTTTTTTTTTCCTCCAATGGCTACAGATCATAGTAAATGTTTACTCATCTTGTATGTATTTACTAGATGTCTACAGTTATCAAGAACAGTACTATAAATACTGATTTGACTTTTGTTGGTGGCTGTGGTGATGCAGATAGTAAGTTATTCATCAAGCCCAGAAAGCCAGTGATACTTTTATGTAAAGTCATCTGTGAATTAAGTACAGGATGAATTCATGATGTAGAATGATTAGAATTTTCAGTAATCTCTTTAAGTAAATAAACTATAATCTGTATCTTCCTATTTTTTCTAGTTCTTCCATCTGTTTACCTGCAAGAAAGTAGCATGAACCATCTATAAGCTTAGAATATATTCCCAATTTTATTCTTGTGATACATGAAAGTTTGTTTTGACATAGTTATCCTCTGTCTTGTTGACTGCTTTATTACTTTATCATTACAGTTCCTGTTTTTTTACTTTGATTTTTTTCTCTCTTTTTGAACTGATTTGATCTCTGAGTTGCAATAATGAGCTTGAATGAAAGTCTTTTTTGTAGTCTTTATGTTCTTGTAGCCATGTGTGTTTCTCTTGTTAAACTATATTCTTGCCTTTCAGATGACACCAACTATTAATGGACTTTTTTACATAGGAAAAATGACTATACTACAACCTGAACAATACCTAAACATACCATATTATAGAAGGGAGATTACATCACTGGATTAAAGTATAGTAGTATATTAAAGTTCCAAATACCCAAAACTAACACCTAAATACTGATGCAAAGCAGAAAATACCCGAAATTAAATACAAAATTAAGGCCAAATCAAAATGGATTGCAAGAGAGTAAATCCACAACTGAAAGACAATTAGAAGGAATTAGAATTACAAATTTAACAATTACATTCACCTTTACAAATTTCAGAAAATTATTGGACACCATCAGCAGAAAGACTGCTGAAAGTTGTTCAAAGCATATAGCTTAACTGTAAATATGCATAAGGATATGCAACACTTGTGCTCCAATACAAGAGTTAAATTAATAACACTAGATGTTAAAGCTAACTTAATTTATTCTGGCTTCTCTGTTCCCCTGTGGGAGATAAATAAGACAAAAAAAGAAGACATTAGGCCATTGTATATATGACTGAAAGCATATGGGATTCAGAATAGCCCCTTGTTAGAAGAACTTTAGTAAGACACTGGACCAAAGTGCAAAGCAGTGTGTCCAGGATAGGGACTTCTGGTGGCTCATGCACAGGTTTGATGAAACTTG